TGTTTTTTCTTCTTTTTTTTTCCCTTTTTACTTTTTTTTTTTTAATTTTGAGTTTTGTTCCACATTGTTCTCCCTCTCTATCTGGAATCTCCTACAGAGATCCCCCTCCAAGTGGTTGACAGTGGTAGCCGGGCACCATCTAGTTCTTCTGGTCTCATAGTGATATAGGCTGAGGATCGCATGGTGTACCAGTCGCCAGGACTAATTGTTTCCATGAATCTTTGGTTTTCTTCATTCTTCTTTGCTCTGGATGGGGAGAGACACATCATTGAATCTAGATGGCTGCTTGCAAGTATTTAAGATCCCAATTGCTACTCACCAAAGTAGTATGTGGAACAATGTTTTGTGTAGTGTGTTATGCAGTGACCTTGATGTCCCCTGCAACTATGGTCCCGAGACCACAGGTCCAACTACTTGCTCTCTCCAGGTAGCTGGCTGTGGCCACGAAGTGACTACAAATTTGTCCCTTGTCAGCTCTACTATATACCTGGGAATTCTTACAGAACATACCAATATACTTATAGAAACATTGTCAGCCAACCCTATACATGGTCTTGGGCACACTCCCCGCCGCATAGACATAAATGCTGTCTTTTTATTTGTTACTGCGATTTTTGTTGTTTATTTTTCCCCCTTTCTAAATAACGTAGCAGGGAGATTAATTTTTTAAAAAATCATATCATGTGCGATAAAATATACGTAAGACAATAGTTGCCTTTGTGGCCGTTTTCCGTGGACAGTTCACTGACACGCGTCCCATTCACCGTGTTCAGCAACCGTCACCACAAACGTTTGCAGACGTATATCATCCCCTTCACCCCTGCACACAGTTAACGTCTAAATACTCATTAGTGTTTGCCACCTCTGTGGACTCTTACTACAATCGCTTTTGCCCCCAGTCTTTTCTCAACAATGTTTCAAACACAGAATTGAAGGAAGTTTGCAGGAAATACCCTGCGACCCCCTACCAAGATCTTACCATTAATATCTGGGCTGCACTTGTTCCATTGCACATCCATCTGTCTGTCCCTGTCCATCCGTCTGCCGGTCTTACTCTGTAGTGCATTTTTCTATGTACATTTCACCTACACATCGTTAGGTTAACTCATCTCCAGTAGTTGTTCAGTTTTATGTTTTTACTTCAATGATAGCTAGCTTTATATATTAAAGAAACCAAATCCATTTCCTGTAAAGTTAATTCTGCCTTATGCATATGTGTGTGTGTTGTTGTTGTTGTTGTTATGTGCCTTCGAGTCGGACCCAACTCATAG